AAAGCACCATGACACTTCTTCCACTGACAACCTCTCCACAAACCCTGAATATAATAAAAATACACTGTGGGGGCATTTCAAGAGTTCCCACTTTGCGCACACATGAAAAACTGGTCACAAATGCAGACTCAGAGGTGTGTATTTACAGTGTAAAAGCATACACCTGCTATTAGGTCAAGCACAAGCTTAATGCTTTTCAGTTCACCTGCTGGGTGTGCCATGCTTCATGAAAGATCAATCTTTCAATTACACAAACTTATTCCCCCTTTCAAAGAAGAGCCGGAGAAGGCGAAGAGCACAATTCAGGAGCTCTCCTCCAAACAGTACTGTATCAACAGCTCAGCTGCCTAACTCGCTGGGTTTATCAGTGGGGCTGCAAACAGCACTGCAATGGGCTCCAGTACTCAGCGGGTCAGTCTCGGCGCTGCGATCCCTGGAACAGGGGTTCTCGTATGGGTGTTAAGTGCCCAAAATGTGCAGCATGGGAAAACAGAGTTAACACTTTGCCAAACAGTCAGAACTGCAGGGTTTTGACTTTGAACTGTCAGCAGGAATGAAATACTGAATAAAAGGAGGAACAACAACCTGTATATGTAAAAATGCATTTTATTTTTCTACCAGCCTGATATAATGCCTGAAGGCAGTGGACAGAACAGCATTTCTCAGACAATTTGGCCTGGCCTTAAAGCTGATTTCTATTTCTCAGCAACCTATTTGGGGAGTCTTCTGGGAGGAAGTATTTCATGCAATGGATATAGAGAATCATGCACATTTGGAGTTTACCTCTCTAGAGTCTTGCACGTTCCTCTGTACTGGCGTTCCGACTGTCAGACGTGCACAGTTATTACACTAACCAGCTGTAAAGCAGCTCACTGCCACGCCTGCCAGACCCTACCTGCTCTCCTTCAGGCCACATTGTTCTGGGGGATTATCCAAAGCCTTTCAAAGATTCCCATGTGGCTTTAAAGCTGGAGACAAAGGGCTGAGCCTGTGATCTTGCAGCAGCCTGCCACTGAAGATGAGCCATTTTAAATCATCTCTCGTTCAGACAGCAGTGGAAGGTCAGAGAGGGCCTCTGGGGTTCACTTGAACACACCAGACAAAGGCGTTTTTCGTTCTGCATTTCCAAAACAACGTGTCACCTCACATTACAGGAAGGACTTTTTGCGCCATTAATTAACATCTGCTCAGATGCACCTCTAAACATGAAAGAGGCACTTGAAACATAAATCTATAGGAGAAGCATGCAATTATGAATGTAAAACTCCATATTTCTAAAGAAGATACGCATTAATTACATTGGAAACCAGAACTATAGCAGATCCACAATATTTTATGATGGCATACAATATGTTCTTTCTTTGAATCTTGCCCTGGGCTGGAATCAGAGATTCCTCACTCCAGGTTTGTTAAAGCTAGACACCTATAGGAGCCCACTGGAGGTTGGAGGTAGATCAAGGACTGATGGGAATGAGTGTGAGTAACCACAGTAGCCCCGGCCTGTTTCCTCTGTATTTTACAAGCCATTGCCAGCCTTAGGGCACCTTCTTAATATTAATTCTGGGGCTATATATGCTCTGCAAGCACAAAGATCCAACAAGGAGGACCTAAAGAGATAAATCCCTTTGCCATCAGTGTAGGGGCTATCCAGTCTGTACCACAGTTTCCAGTTCAGTGCTCAGTAGGAAAATGTTCGAATCCCACCTAAAATAACCATATCAGTCCACTACCAAATACCCCAAAACAGCTCAAATAGGAAGAACTAGGAAAACATCATTTATTTTTTACTATATCTACAAGGATTAAAATCTACTACAATCTTCTTCATTAATACACTCCTGAAAACTGCACATTCCTTAAAACTCAACATATCAAGGAATATGTTTTATGTCATTTCACCCCCTTTTTTCACTGTCTGAAGCAGTTCTTACTGCATTCTTCTCTGTCGTGTTCTGATACCGACTTGGGCTAAGACCAAAGAGCTGTGGGTTTAAACCCCAGGTGTGACACTGCTGTTACATCCTTAGACAGATTACTTCACCCAGACCCGCTAGTATACATAGTCTGGGTTTCCAGATTGTCACTGTAAATGAGAAGGTGTTTTCAGGTTGACCTAACTGGTTAAAATAAAGGAACGAAGGTCACCCACTGCCCTGAAGTCACCGATATTCTTCCACTCCTAGGACTGTGTCAGACAATCTCAGTCAAAACAGCAGCTAAGGACTATCAGTAAGATTACACACCATGTAATGGGAAATTTCAAATCAAAATAACAGGACAAAAAATCTTACTTAAATTACACCAGTCCTTAATCTAAGCGGACTTAAGATGCAAGACATGAGACAGGATGCAAGACAGAAGAACTGAGCACAGTAGGAAAGTTCCTCAAATAAAAGCTTTATCACCCTGCCATGGGAAAACTTTCATCAGAAATTTGCTTTGCCTTCTAATTCTAAAGGTTCCTTCTCGTGGTAAATGCTGAATGTTCAGCTGCACTGCAGGATATAGACATTTCGCACCCAAGAATTTCAGGCAGTCTATTTCAGACCGGTTCTTCCCCAAAAATCTTCACTTAACCACTCAAAAATATTAGAGCTGACCTTTTTCAAAACGCAAGCAAAAAGATTTCATTTTGCTTACGTGCTTCAAAAGCCCTTTGGGGGAAAAAAAAGAAATATGCAGCTCTCATCGCTCTGTACGAGAAGCACTTTGGCAGCACACTGTAGAATAAGACCTAGCTTTTCGGACCCTCAAACGCGATACTATACAGTACATGTGCACTGAATCCTAACACTCTTGCGAGAGGAGTAAACAAACAGAGCAGTGTCCAAGCTGAAGATGAAACATACTGGGACGTCTGCTGGCAATAATTCCAGCAGAAGGAAAGCGGCTTGACAACCAGTTGTAAACAAGCACGTTTGGGTGAAAACTGACAATCTGCCTGCCAAGACAATTTTGCATCTCCGAGCGGTGAAGCCAACTTTGGGCTTTGGCAAAAAAAAAAACAGCCATCCAATTCAGAGCAAGAGCCAGGGTAGTGGTTTGATCAATCAATCCAGGCTGCAAGTCTTGCAACGTCCACGTTAGCGCTCTCAGAGCTGCGCTGGGATAAAGGAGTGGGCAGTGTCTGCAACCCAGAGGGTTTCTAAAAGCTCAGTGGTTTGTACCTGGGTATCTAAGCCAGATCTGCATGTGCGTGGGGCTGTTTAATCTGAGGTGTGCCCGTTACTGTGGACACACAATTGCAGGATTGCATTCCCTGTTGCTGGGCTTCAATCAAAATGCACTGAACCAGTTTCTGTAACTGCATGCAGAAACACTAACTTCACAAACGCATCCAGATTGTAGAGAGATGCTTTTCAATAAGGCCTAGGACTCCCTGTTTGGGCAGTAAGTGTAATACTCTAGACATCTCACAGGCCTGTGTTTTAATGTTGAATATCTGAGAAAAGTTAGAAGCACAGAGAACTGCCTTGAGAATCAATATATGAGAAAAAATTATATTTTCTAAACAACACCCTCCTCAGCATGATTTAATCACACGACGGTTCTACCAAGTATAGAAATGTACGTTGCTGAAGGACTGGAGAAAGTAATCTTTCATGCATATTCTTTGCAAGATAAACCACTGATGAAAAGCTTTGATACAAGTGGTCTAACAAGCAGCATCCAAAATAAAGAGAAAACAAATGTTTAATATTTTGTAACTAGGGTCTGCAATGCAAAGATGGACGACTGGAACATTTGATTTCTAATCACAAAAGAGCCACCAAGATAAATACTATTTTTAACCCTTCATTTGAAATGTATTAGCGAGAACAAAGTAGAAGTTAATAATGAGTAACATCAGTAAAGTAATTAGTAAGGTTATTGGTTACACATGCTTTCCTTTTCATAGTAAAATCCTGCAGCAACAACAGCTACAGCGTTTGCCAACGAGATTTTTTTTTAACCATATAACATGTAGAGCATTTACTTCCTGGACAGCATTTGTTTTGCGTTAATGTAGAGCTACAGGACACACAATGTAAAAGACACAAACCCGATCACTTGCATGAATTGGTCCTACGAACTGCTCTCTAGATTCTTAAGCGTCCTGCACATTGCTCTCGTCTCCGGGAATGTGGAAGATCAAGCCACTGCAAATCGCATCCCGTTTGGAAACTGGGGGAGGCACACCGTCCCCCCACACAATCCCTCAAACCAGAGGAAGAAAGGAAGGAAGTCGACAGCTCCAGTACAAGAGCGGCGAATACCGGAGTGATTCAGGATATGCACCGCCACTTAAAATACAAGGTGCAGCAGCGCGTTCTTCCACGTGCAGAACAAAACGCCAGCCGCAAAACAAGAAACAAAAGGGAAAAGGTTTGACAACCTTTCCGAAATCATCTGGTTAAAAAGAAACAGGAAACTGGCTATGCCAGGGACACTGGAAACCCCCTCCTCTCCACATCCTGACTTACAGTAACTCCAAGCTGCCGGGAGATCAAGGCTCTGGACACAACCTACCCAAGAAAACAAGGGAAAAGGCTCCTTCTGCCCCTCGGGCATTCAAACCCACGCGCAAGGCGGAAAAGGGGAAAACCGCTGCCTCTGTGGAAGAAATGAGTCGACCGTGCTCCTTGACTTATCCCTCCTCTGAGCAGAAGCCAATCTCACGGCTGCTCTCAGCTCTCCTGCAACTAGACCTGCAAGCACTCCCTTTACAGTCCCAGCGCTTGACACTCACAGCAAGGGCTTTTCTAATCCAAGTACTCTGACAAGAAGTTAAAGGAATTCATTTCAACTCATTCAGCAAGCACGTGGAATGAGGGAAGCTGACAGGAAGGCGAAGTCAGCAACAGCTTCAGTGGATAAGGGCTGGGGCTTTATCTGCGCCGAGCTGAACCGAAGCTTGCCGACAGTGGAACATTGCAATATCTCGTGCTCGGCCCCAGCGCAGGAAAGCGCAGAGCACATGGAGGACAAACAGGAGCCCGGCATGGGAGAGCTTCACTCACCTGCAGAGCTTCTCCGGCCCGGCGATGATCCACAGCAGAAACCGGACGGCCACGGACGTCAAGGCCAGCACAGAGGGGAAAGGGAACTCGGGGAGGGAATGGAGCTAAGGCTGCGTTGCAAATTAAATAAAATGCATAAGCAGAAGAGGGGGCGACCTGCCAGAAGCCCCACTGGCGGCATTCGATTCAAGCACTGAAGGAGTTTCCAGGAAAGCAAGACAAAGCAAGCTGGGAAAAACAGAAGCGAAAAATAAAAACAGAGGGAGCCCATGTGGCTCAGCTGAGGATCTGCGCTGTTATGACCATGCAGGACAGCTGCATCTGGGAAGGCTGGATCGCCACTGTCTCTGCCACCTCCCCCCCACTACCCAAAAGCCTTGCCTTCCCTCAACCCACTCCCCTCCCCCCCCCCATATCCCCAGGATAAAGGAAGGAGTTCCTGGAGGCGTCACATGCCTGCTGATTACTGCATGGGAGGGGGGCAGGGGGATGAGAGGGAAATTCAGCCAGATGGGAGGCAGTGAGCCCGCCGCCTTCCCATCATCCTCCAGGACAGCAGAATAGCAGGTCACGAAGCCATATGCAAATGACGGAGCTTTAAAGGGGAGGGGAGTGGCACCAGCTGTCCGGGACAAGCAGCTGTAATTAAAGGGATGGGGTCTTCCATTAACAGACCTCCTATATCATCATTACATGTGATAGAGGTGTTCAAGTATCCACATCACAGCTCTAACGCCACTATTGTTTAAACTGTTACAAGGATGCCCTGGGCATTATTTACTGCAATAAGACATACCTAGATTTTCAGCGGTTACACTGCAGGATTATATTACAGTTGATTTAGCGCACATCGGTAAAAGCAAACCTGTTCTTCTTAGCTGTACTAAAACAAGCTGGGATACTTCAGCTCATCAGTCAATGCAGACAGAATGCTTGCCCACCAGTCCTGGTTTCTAGAGTTGATTTGCATTTATTTAAAAAACATGACTTCAGGCCTTTCAGTAACGCTGGAGAAGGGATTAATCTGGAGGGCCGAGAGCAAGGGGTCTGTCCTCTCACACATTACCCCAGGCATCTCGGCATCCTGGGGCAGAGATCTAGTGCCCACACCTAGTGAACACAGCTGAGCAGGGAGAGGAGGGGTCTGCAATAGGGTGTGCAAGCTCCAAAGCCCCAGGGCAATGTCCCATGAGCTTGCTGATCCATTATTCAGCATGCAAACTGCCTATGGGAGCTCCCCTTTCTGTACTGCGCATGCACAGATCCAGCAATCCATCTTTTTTAATTCTCCACTTTCCTGCAAGCACTATTCGATGGCTGGGGGTTATACGGAGATTGGAGTTTCAGAGAGACCCTAGACCTGATGGACACTCCAAAGTGGGTTAATTCATGGTCTGGGATAGTGCCTGTGCTCAGGTACAGATATTGTTCATATGCAGCAAAGAGGGTAAAGAAGTGAGGTAAGGAATAGGCAAGATAATTTCCACATCCCAGCCCAGGGCTGAATATAGTGTTTGAACCAGGAAGATTTTACATGAAAAGGCTGAGATTTTAGAGCCACATCATTTAGGGAGCATCCTTACCAACGGTTTAATATATCTGGAAACAACATTGTTATGCCTTCCGTTCTCATCTATCGATGTGGTTAGTGCATCTTCCACATTTTAAAGCAAAAAAGAAGTGAGGGTTTTGCTCTCTGAGACAGGAATACTGCTGCTATTAGAACATGTCAAGAGAAATAAAGCTTTCTCACTCAGATCCTAATCTGAGATTGCAATCTACCACTGTTCCTCAAGCAAGCAGCCCCACAGCAGTGGGAAAAATCAAAGTGCTGTCAGCATGCTTCTGTAAATGCACATCACTTTAGGGTCCACAAACATTATTCTTTTATTTTACCAGGTATGTGAAATGAAAATAATTATCATTTACAACGGTGACGGTGAGATTATACTCTATGCAGCGGGACATGTACTGGAGCAGTAGGAGTGAAGAGCCAAGCTCAAGAGAGCAACAGCACCACACAAGGGATTTGAACCTGCAACTCTCTGGTCTGGTCCAGAGGCTGGAGCCCTGGGGTTTTTCGCTGTTATGCAGGAAAGGTTCAATGCATCGGTAATAAATTCCTATTAAAGGACAAGTGTAATCTCACAGGCTGTGCTACAATCTCAAAAATTATCCACAATTACAGACTTTTCAACAAGGGATAAATAATGTATTAATTAAAGGCCATTAGTGGCTTATCTCTGTCACAGACCTAGATGAACTTGCAGCATGGTCCCTAGAAAACCACAAACTTGTCAAACAGCATCCTCTGTTTGCTCACTCATCAGCACAGGAGCCTGGAAAACAGCCCTACCAACCAACAAGTTCTGACTTCAGCCTTAATCAAACAAGAAAAACTGCAACCAGAAATGCTGTACGTCGTGCCAGGTCGTGGCAGCAAGCATAACGAGCAGGTTTGTATTAACGAGCTGCACGCTTGGCGGAGGAGGAAGGGTTGCGAAAAAGCCAGCAAGGTTGAGGGCACACTGGGGCCAAGACCACAGAGAGGGTGAGAAATGAATACCGCAGTGAAGGCGATTGGTTTACACTGATCTTCAAGACGCTGGCCCGAAAAGGCCTAGATGAATGATAGAAGTGTTCAGCAGTTCATCCAGGAAATATCCATGCACCATCATGCCTCACTGAGCACAACACACGCAGGCAAAAATCTCCCCACTAAATTCCATTGATTCTCAAGGCAGCTGCTACAGCGGTGCACATTCCCTGCACGTGAGTGTTGGGCTGCAGCTTGCTACAGCATGATCTACTGTAAAATCAAGGTGTTTGCAGGATGCTTTCCAACTATGGTGTGTTGTACAGCATGTGGGAAATTTCATTAAACCTTAATACTTCGCTCAATTATTTTGGAGCTGTAAACAGAACAGATCTGCAACGTGACTCCCGTTTGACCATAAGGAAATTCAGACACTCACCACTGAACATAATCAGATGAATATAAGTAACACAGCAGTCAATTGAGGACTATCATACTATCCTTTTCAATTGTTTCAAAACAGACCTCAGATTAACAATTAATAACAATTAACAAAAAACAGCTCATTTTTTTCTCCATTCTGGTCTTTGTAAGAGGGGAGAAGCTTTTTTTTTTTGGTCTGGAAAAACATTGCAAACGCTCCACCTTTACTTCAGAAAGCAAAAAATGCTTTCCCAAAACAGATGTTCCCTTCAGACACTTCCGCCTTTGACAAACCTCCCAGTCATTTTAAGTTTCAGCTTCGGGAAAAACAACCCAAACCACAACCATTGTCAGCGATGACACACTCACACTCACGAGAAGAAGGGGGAAACAGTTTGAGAGTCATTGCAGCAGAAAAGACAGAAGTGAAAAAAATGTCCAACAGAGAAGCAGGCACTAGCACAACAGCCAAGATACTCCAAGTCAGAACAGCGGACTCAGCGAGCAGTTTCTTCTCACATAGAAACTGTGACTGAAGTAAAAAGAAGAAGAAGGTGGCACTGCTTGCCATATGCCTAAGTACTTTACAAACCCCAAAATAAGGACAGTAATTACCTGTAGTCTGTCAGACCCCATAAGGAGTCCAAATTCTGTTGTGAACTTTGGAAGAATCCTGAATAAAAATTCATGAAGTCAACAGAACCTTCCGAAACACTGGCCCACAGATGAAGGTTCATCAAGTGTCTGTATCCCGTACTCCTAAAGTCCCCCAGCACTGCTGTGCTCTCAGCCATTGAATAGGATTGATTGAATTGAATTAACCTTTATTTCCCTGATTAGTCTTGCACATCAAGAGATCATAATCATATGTGACAATACTACCGCACAGCAACAGTACAATACTGTGAACATTTAACCACATCGCTCAGTCAGAGCTCAATCCGCTATCACAAGATTAAAAACCCACAATTAGCCGGCAGGGTGTCAAAAACAGTAAAGTGTCTAAAAGCTCCCAGCACTTCAATGGGGACCGGATTTGAGTGTTACGGCCGGGAAGGAAACAAATGGTACTGCCTCCGAGCTCACAGCAAAACAAGAGTAACTGTAAAAAAAAACAAACAAAGAACGGTTCATTTCCCTGCCCCTTTCACGGAAGCTATCAGAATAATAACAATAATAATCTGTCATGGTCTTGCTCTTACCAAAGTGCTGGTGAGCACTTAAAAGAAGAACAAGTGCTCTTAGCTGATGGCACAGACCAGCACAGTTAAGCTGCCAATCCATGTCAGTGCTTGTCAAAGGCACAGGAGTAGGCAGGCAGCCTCCCAAAAAACATCCAGGATCCAAAATCCTGCTCCATGCGGACAGGCCTACACTTCCCAAGGATCCTGGGATTGACCACCCCCCCCCCAGAGCCAGATCCCCCAATATACAGATTCACACCACTCTGGACTCGGGGCTCAAGGGACAACGGCATGACTCGTCAGCAGAGAGGAAAGGGCACGGGTTCAGTTCAGTTTATTTGTCATGTGCACAAGTGCAACGAAAGTCTTGTTTGCACGTATGCATGCTCCAATACTAAGACATTAAAGGAATCGCCAAAAAAAACAGAGACGCAGAAAAGCAGCAACAACAAGTTAAATAACATAAATCTTATATCTTAAAAGTCAGACAAGCAGTGGGAGAGAAAAAAAAACGCGAGTCAGTGGCAGGGGTAGAGTTCAGTAATCTGACAGTTTGTGGGAAGAAACTGTCTTAAGTTCGTGCCTTTATGCTCCTATAACGCTTACCAGAGGGAAGGATGGAGAAAAGTAGTGATCTTTGAGAATATTTAGATTTAAACTTCTCTGACGCATCAAATAAACACGTCCTTTTACTGCAGCCCAGTTGGAGGGACAAGAGCGATTATCAGCGTTACTGAACCACAGACGGACACTACGTGTTACTGTTGCGCCGAATAACAAAAGAGGCGTTTTTTTTCCCTCTTTTTCCCTCAAAGGGGCAGTGGGTATAGGTCACACTACCTATAATAAGTGGTCAGTGCTATGGCTGAGGGTTCAAACCCCAGCTAAGACACGGTACTTCACTCGGGTTGCTTCAGTAATGAGGCCAGCAGTACAAACGAGCCTTAGCGGAAAGACCCGTCTTCCATCCGTGCTAGAAATAGCAGGCGGACACAGCTTGTGTAGCGATAGTCGGATACACTGTCCCGTCCGAGTTCGTGCAACTCGCATTAATGGACGTTTTATAATAACAAAGCCACTCCGTGCTGGCGGACAGGCTTTGTTGCGCGACATAAATATTGCGATGTGAAACCTACCCAGATGGACGCAGGACCGTAGCCCAGACCCCGACGCGTCGGGTTTTTGTTATGAAAATATCACCTCATGTTACAACCTTTATTGTGGGCAAACATCGCATGGAAACACGACGCCGGTGCGCTTCTGGCCAACAGAAGGGATGAAGAACATAAACAAATGACCGAATTCAATACCATATGGAAAACGAGGACCTGCAAAATGTTGAAGACATAAAACTACTGACAGCATTAAAATCAATACAGCGAACCACACTCGGCAAACGTCTTTTGAAACGGTCACTATTAAAACCAATTACCTAAGGGATAAAAAAAGCACACCGTCTTTGCAAAAAAAGTCACAATTTTTCCGTTGCAATTCAAACATTTTAATTTTGCTGCTGACGATAGGCTATAATAGTATTATAGGAATACTCTCTTATTAGAAACTGTAAGTGGTCTACAGTAACCTCCCGTTACACTGCTGTGGAATCGAAATAAAATGTAGCAGTACTGTCAATAATTAACGGAGTATATGTAAAGCACAGAAGTAGGACGCAAGACGTTACAAATTACTTTATATATCACATTGGAAATACCGAATTAAAAATAGGAAACCACGGTGCGAATATCCATGATATATTGTTCCGTTTTGCATAACATTTATTCATACATGACATTCATTAAAAAAAAAACGAAGGTGTCCCAGGTTTGTCTTTTTTGTTTTTTACACTTCCAATAGACCTCCAAATACTAAAACCCAACGCCGGACTCTGCTGTCGTTGCCCCCGGAGGGGTCGCCGATACTCGGACGCCATCCCGAGCACACACCGCTGGAACAGCACAGGACACCGAAGGCCTCACCGATTCTGCACATTCCACCATTTAAAAAACCCCCGGCACTACACATGAAGTCGGGCTCGGCTCTCTTGCGGTGTGAAAAGATTATATATCCCCGCCTTTCTGTATAGGAATAAGCAAGAGAAAACCCCGCATTGTATCAAACGGGGTGAACTATCCGGAGCCAAGGTCTTAAGCGCTAGTCCTGGTTCGATTTAGAGACGTGCATATTTTCAATTTGTGAATGGGGAGGGAAGGCGGAGGGGAACGTGAAATCTAAGGTACTTACCCAGGCGGAATGCAGAACACGGTCACTTTGCTAAAAGGGTACCTCGTGTCCTATATAGTCCACCATGACCCGGGTGAAAATGGAGGGTCCGGCACGGCGACTGGAAGGCAAACTGTTCTGGGGGACAGCGGAGACGGCGCTCGGCTCTCAAGTTTCAAGGGAGCGCTACACCGCCGCCGTGTACAACCAAGGCGATCCCAAGTCCTGTCGGTCTGACTCGCGCAGGCACAGCCAGGGAAGGAAAAAACACAGAAAAACAAAAGACCCAGACAGCTTCCTAGTGGAGAGATGAGGGAAATACAGATACAGCTGTTGCGAACAGGCAATGCATTTTGAAACCCAGTAAAAAGCTGGATTAACCAGACACGCAGGCAATTGAAAAAAAGGGGGAAAAAGCAATCCGAAGGTTAGGCGCCAGATAATGCAGATTATTTTGAAGTGTTTTCCCTTCTGTCCTGAAAAAGCGCTGTCAAAGTCAACTGCAATTATCTGAGCTGGTATCATCCCTTTGTAGAACCATCCAGCGGTGGGACATTGGGCCCTGAACTACGTAGAGAAAATTGGGTCCTGGCGCCTTTAAAGAGTTTTTAATCCCAACATACAGTCACCCCCCCCCCAAATTTACCTGGAAGGCGAACATGACGCGTCAACATACTGTAAAAACCTGTTTTGCCCATAGGTAGCTTCTTCAACATCAGTTCTCGATTTATTTGTAGTTTGCTGCTGCTGCCCGCAGGCAAGGACCTAAATGAAATGTCGCCCTATTTGTATCCCTTACTTCTGTTGCTTGATCAATCTGCACAAGCAAGTGAAGAGCGCGTTATTCACACCCCCAGTAACAGTCACTGCGCAAGTTGGCACTACAAATCGTGAAGGCTTCGATCACCTTGACTTTTTGAGATTTTATCTGAATCCGGTTGAAGGTATGAAGTGTCAATCCCGCATTGTTTTCCTTCGCCGAATAAATGAGAGGCTGCTATTACGTGGCAGGTCTTGCGCATTTGTCACGTACTGCCTGCATAACGCGAGTTTTATATCTAAAGACAATCCAAGTCCACCAACAGACACAATTTCCCCCCACTCAGGACATATTTATTGAACAATCCAATAATATAAAGAAAATCTACAGCACAGAAATAAACGCAGAAGCACTTTGTTTGAAATCGGTATTTATTCCTTGAATTGGAATAACATTACAGGTGTGACGCTGAAAACGATCACTTTTTTTATCATTTGCGATGGCGGAGCGCATCTTGACAGAGATGAAACGCACCTTCTGGGGGGGAAAAATCCCATTTTAAACACAGACCAAAACTTCAGTTAAACACTTCAAATTGAAATTAAACATTAAAAACGTCTAAGGAATAGGTCTGCAGATTTTTGTTTTTAAAAGGAGGAGATTGGAGTGGACGTTTAATTGAGTGAATAGGCAAGAAAAAACAGGATTTGACACAGGTCTATTGTCTCTCCAGCGAATAATTTATTCGTCGCTCTCTCTTAATCCGTGATCCTCAAACCACATTTTGACAGAATTATCTGTGAAGAATTAGTGGAGTGTCTTTGCCAGTACCTCGGTGACGTAGCCTCGGTGTTATAATCTGAAGCAGCTGTTCTCTGAAGGGTGAAAGGTCAACCGCATACTTTCAGAAAATAAATCCGTCAGTGTGCGCCGGATATCCAGTACCCGCAAAAAGCATATCCAAAACGATCCCACCGCTACTGAGAATGTATTATCTTAAAGCGAAATCGCCTATACTTCACATTTCTTTGATTTCGAAAAATCATACTTGCATCCTGCGAAAAAAAAAAGCAGTGTCCACGCTGTAATTTTACTGGGTTACTTAGAGACGCGGTCATCGCGTTTGTGCTGATTTTTGGAGGCAACTGCACACCCCGCTTGCTTTTGTAGGCCGCGGTTTGAGCTCCCACTCCCGCCGGCGAGCTGCGGAGAGGATTGGCTGTGGGTGAATGGTGCCATTATTCCACACGTCACTCGTGTTCCGCAAGCTGTGAAGAGCAACAGCAGCTGGCCTGCCTTTCACATTCCTGAGAGCTGGAGACCGGCGCAGTATGTCGGCCACCGAGCGCCGGGGAACGAATTGTTCAACAGCCGGGAGGAAAGCAGCACTTCACTAACGGCTCAGCCTGCGGGACCTCCAGATTTCTGATGTGTCTGCAGCATAGTGGGACATTAAATAAACAAAGCAAAGCAAAACGGAAAAAAAAAAATATTCTGCTTACTCATTTTAATCGCCTCCAGTATTTGGTGCCCCATTGTCTCATTTTTCCTTCCCTGCACCTGTGTGACATCCATTCAATCCTTAAATCGGCACACATTTCCTCTGCAAAGGAAGAGGCATGTGTTGGTGGGTTTTTTTTACCAAGGATAATTTCAAACCCCTTTGCGCTTCACGGAGATCAATCAGACAATATTGTGACAATGAGGATTGTTCTGGGGAGAGGCACGAGCATTTTCACACAGCCATGGTAGACTGCACTAATTGTACCCAATGTGCATCAATCCGTTTTCTTAAGACCAGTTTGGTAAATGCATCCATTCCTGTGTTTTTTTTAGAGAACTCCTGGCACAGTGTAACCAGGGAGTTATCTTTGGGTGGCAGACTGAAGCCTGAGGTCTTTTGTGGCCTCTGTTGTGTACTATACACAATTCGTCAGCTAGGCTGCTGTACTAAACCCCCTACAAGAGGAAAAGCTTTGTTTTGCTTTTTATTATAAGAACTTTCACCTAAGGAACCATTTTTTTTTTACAGTGCACATATAAGACCTTCCTTGAGTTATTTGGGTTTCGTTCTCGGTGCTGTTAAAGGCATTAGGACTTTGGAATCATGGATTAAACACGACATGGACAGAATAGTGTTTAGCTCTCTTTTCCCAAAGGGCTTCCCTGGAAGTTGTCCAGAGGCAAGAATTGAGAGCACTCTGCATTCTCCCTGCCAGCCCAATCTCAGCCACTGCCTTCAACCGCTACCAATAAACAAATTACAGCTTTCCAACAGGATTTCTAGTCTGCAAGCAAGCAGGAAATAAACGCATACCTATTAAGTCATTTCTAAAAATGTATGAAGTACCGTAGCATATCAGATTCACTTCACTTTGGTGGTATATGAATATTACATTTAATACACATCTTGAAACACGCATGAGAAACTTTGGTTAAACTGACATTGGCTCCAAGTATAATTGCAAAAATATATACAGGATTCCTTCTCATATTAAAACTATAAGGTATAAAGATGTTTTTGGCTCAATCTAACCATAATATTTCTATTCCCTCTTAGCACTTAACAGGCACTGATTATAAAGCATGACACAATGCTCTAAGGACAGAGATCTGATGATCTGCACATGCACGACCAGAGTACAGACTCTTTACACACAGGAGTGTGAACAATGAGGCACATCACACTCTTTTAATCCATTCCCCTGCATGTCAAACACATTACATTAACCAAACCCTCCTGCACTGAATCATGAACAACCCACAGTCACGTTTTATAGTTTTCTTTTATTTAGACAACCCAAATAAAAGGCACATAAAACATTGGGCATATGTTTACATAATTATTTTGACAAACATACATTTAAAAAAAATGTAGGAATGTTTTACCTTTCTGCTAATCAGAAAGCCTAGTCTTCATATATACAAAAATTACCATTGTTAATGTTCTAATACAAAAGATTTATAAAAGGTTATCTTACTTTTTTTATCTTGCACATGTGTCTATCATAACTACCACGTCCTCAGAACTAAATGGTTTTGTACAAAGATATACATTCATCTGCCTTCACAAGGAGTCCAAGATCAGCCAATTGAAAAGAGTCTGATGGGAACCGATGCAGAAGAGTGCATCATTTTTAGTCCTCCAAACTGCAGTAAGTGATCAGTTTTCTTTGTAAATAGATCGTAAAAACAAAAGTTTAAAAAAATAGCCAATTTTTGTTTTTCAAAGCAAACTGCAAATGCAGAAGGAAAACATACACACAATGTATCCGTCAATCCATTCTCTCTCAAGCAGAGACCTGGTGAGACAGCTCTCAATCGCAAAACATTGCTGTTGTGTCCCTTCTTAACAGGACTGTCTTGGTTACAGCAGTGTCGAATGTATGCAGGGGAGCCTTATGAACCAACTGCACTACGACAAGTGGAGACTTCTAGTAAAAGATTATATGCTGCTTATAACCCTCCCCAGTCTTTATTCACTGCAAAGACGAGTACAGGGGTGAGCCTTCAAGACCAGTGAGGGATCTTCAATGCTTTCCTGTGCCCTCCCAGCCATAAGGCATCCCTTTACAGAGTACATGATCAATTCCTATAACACCATGCAACCAGTTAATTATGACTTCACCACAGCAGTTGACATTTTGATACTTCTAGGTTTTCATATCTTCCTGACTGAAGCATTTTAGTGTTTTTTTTTCTTCAACCATTATTGCCATTTAACTTCTTGAGTTCTCCCACCCCACCCCACCCTCAATTTACAGGCTCCTTCAAAAAGCTACGCCCTAATTAGCGAACCGATACCGTTTCGTCTGCCCTGCTAAGCACAGGGCATTGTGGCAACTATGCCAACGGCAAGCGTGACCCCATCTGCATCCTACCCCAGGGCACAAAGACCAGTACCATTTTTGCCCAGGTGTCCGAATGGGGGATCTAACAAATGGACAAGGATGGACCCCCATCCCCTCCTCCCTCTTGCTGGCAGAAGGTGCCCACAAAGAGGCTAATCCAGGGTTACTCTCATCCCCTTTCCAGGAGCGCTCTGTGTGACCCCAAGACTACAAGTGCATCAGGAAATCCACTGGGGTGAACGACCAGCCAGTCACAAGCGCTGTCAGGGACGAGCAACACCACCCCATTTAACTCCGCACAGGGTTTCTTTAATGGAGCGACCTGCTTTTCGATGGGGGGTTACAGTCTTTCTTTAGCTGGTAGGCGCGTACACTGTTTATTTCGGCGGGTTGATTACCAGGCATGGGTAGAAAAAGCAGTTTCTGGTACGAGAATCAGTTTGAGTTGGACGACCAGCAAGGAATGGAGCTAACAAAGCAAGATATTCAGTTTTCCCGTGTTCTTTTTTTCGTTGTTTTTCTCACATGGACGGCGGAATTAGAAGTTCTTGGATCCCTGTCCTGTGAAGGGCTTCTATTTTTCATTTCAGCAAAAGTATATGGTGTTAAATATTTACAAAGTAACGTTAAAAAGTCCAAGATAAAGTTACGTGTTAGACATTTTAGACAACCAGATTACAGGGCTACTCTCAGCAAAGTTCCTGAGTGTAAGGTCCATACTAGCAGGGTCCTCAAATTAAAAAAATAAAATCAAATAAAACAAGGGTATAAAATAACTAGCAAATCTCTACAATCCATCACCGACATGTTGATGAAAACAGGTGAACTTTGGGAGCAACCTCTCAGCAAGATTGAATTCTAGCCACTAGATGGCACTGTAATCTACAGCAAAGACTTGTTACCTAACAAGTGAACACTCAGAATTTGATCTTTGATAATACTGCTGTTCTCAGAAAAATTACACATGGGATATGCGTTCAGTGCAAGACTCTTATTCCTCGATCAATTCCTGTAAAAAGACCAACGTCCATTTACAAATATGTAAAGGGAGCACATTCGCGCTATCCCAAATATTTTTTTCATTTGTACTACTAATTAGACAATTCTGAAAAGCAATCACCTTCGACCGTTACCAGAATTGTACTCTTTAGAAAAATAAAAATATAGCTACAGTTGTTGGTGTTCCAAAATAATTAATTATCATAGGCAACTAAGGTACAACGACTGTACCTTCATCGCAGAATTTCTCTCGTATATTTAAAAGTTTTCATGCTTGACAGTTAAAATCTTCTTCCCTCCCATTAGAAGCCTTTGTCCCTTTTATCTTTTTTAAAAAAAAACGCTTAAAACATTATTAAATACTGATTAGCAGGCTATAGTTAAAAAAAAACTACTAAAAAAAGAAAACACTGCTCCGTGTAGTCTGGAAACCAGCAAATGCACACTTATTGCAATGTGTCTTTCTCTCTATTTTTTTTTCCTTTTCCAACCCCAAAAAGAAAAGTCCGGGTATTGAGATGCTAAAAGCGGAGACTCGCGGCTTTTCTTCGCAAACTGCAACGTCGCGCCGCTTGACGCACAGACTCGGGGCAGGGTGGGGTGGGGTAGGGGCAGGAGAGGAGGGGAGGGGCCCACAAGTCCTTCAGAGAGAGGGAAAAAAACAAAACCAAAACAAAAATCCCTAACTAACTCCTACAGAATTCATTATTTCATTCTTTTACGCAAAAATGCAGTCGTGCTGCAGCCAAGCAAAGGATCGACCTTCCTCCTTGTCCCTCGGTACTAAGTAAACGTTAATATCTGGGTGGAGGACTCGGATGGGGCTCTGGGGGGTGATGATGATGATGATGATGATGATGATGGGGCGTTTTACCAGGGCGGGGAGGAAGGCAGGACTTGGGAGAGGAAGGGCATGCTCTCCATGGGCCGCATGGCTATGTTGAGGGGGCCCGTTATATTCATGGCAGTGGAGATGGGCATGGGCGTGGTGATGGCCACAGGGTGGGCGATATTCATGGGCGCGGTGGCGGGGATGTTGACCGAGGCGATGTTGACCGGGGCGGTGATGGTCACCGGGTGCGGGATGTTGACGGGCGAGGTGATGTTGACCGTGTTGGTCGTAATGTTCATTTGCGCCGCGATGGTGACGGGGTTGCTGCTGATGTTGTTGCCGCGGTTCATCGCCGTGGTGATGGGGGCGGAGGCCGTGACGGGCGTCGCCGAGGCCGAGTTGCACACCTCGCTAGTGTCTGGAAAACAAAACAAGGGTGGTGGGGGGGGGGGGAGAAGGAGGGGGGGGGGAACACCCATGTGATTATGGATCATAAGTCAGAGGCACAACATTACACTGAGGAGCTTGAGCCCACATGGGCTAGATTGTTTAAAAAAATAGACAAGAAGCTCAAGGAATCATGCCCCTTTAAACTAGTCAGATCCACAGTTTCAGCCTCTGCTCTGCCTTCATTTGAGGCAGCAGTGGGCAATGTTAAAAACTAGCCAGTCCTCTGTCGTTGCCCTAAATGAATTATTCAAGTCAAACAGGACCCAGGCAGCAGCCACTACAACAGGCAACGCACTGATGCCACTGGGAGACCTGATAAGCAAGAGCATCAGGATAAATGAGACAAGCGATGGCAAGTTCCAAGCTTGTGACTTATTGACACAGAAAGCACCCTTATAGTAAAGGGCTCAGCTGTCCCTTGCAATTAATACCTAAACCTTTAAATGTTACTTGGTCACAACCTCAAGCTTAACAAATGCTGCAGACACTCCATAAAAAGTATGGCCTACAAATTGACAGGTTTAATATTTGGTATTCTTTTAAAATGACAAAGTCCAAATTAGGGACCCAAGGAATGCATTTTTGGCCCAGACAGAACATTTGAGAATTTCGGCAATGTGGAGAATACACAAATGAGACCAGATTTTTGTTTTTAAATAAATGCTGGAAAACCAACCAACATGGAATGTCACTTCAGCAACTTGCAAACATTGCATTCCGTAGATTACGTATGAAACTGCAGTTACAAGCACCACATGAAGTTTAACTTTGGATGCCTTTTGTATATGTGACCAACAGCTGGTTGTAGAAATGCAAGTGGAAGATTTTTTTCTTTCTGGTAAACAGGTAACCAAGCACAGAACCTTGCTTTATTATGTAAAATAAAATTCTGATTTCTGTTTAAAGCCACCTTTTCATGTTTTCATGATTCGAATTTTAAAAAGATCATGGTCTTAGGCAGTATATAAAACCATTTTTTTCCCACATGATGTGGATTCTATACTATACCCAAGTTCTAATCCTATACCCAAACCCGAGTGAAACCCAGGGATCGCTGCAGCACTGTTCCTTAAAAATTATCAAATTATCATAAAGTGCATAGGTTTTGCATTCTTGGTGAATTTAGACCTGTGTATTTACTTATTGCAACTGTTTAACTTGATATGCGCATGCACCTATAATTTGCATCTTCAGCTGAGTTACCCACTCACTAAAGTGACTCAGCTTTAGAATTCAATTTTAATCAAGGACACGGAATTTATTAAAGACTAGAATGCAGCTCTTAAAAAAGCAGAATACTGGTTACTAACCCCGGTCCCTGCTTCGCTGGGATCACTTCCCTAAAAACAAGCGGCACAAACAAAGCCACATTGCTTGCTATGCAAATCGCCACCCGCTGACCTTTTTGTGAGAATACAGGCCATGTAATTACATCACACTGTAACTGCAATTCCAGTTACAGGGCCTTATTGCTGTGTAAGGCCCTGTAACTCGCACACCGTCAAGCTGCACTCCAAATGGAAGAGTTAAGGGGTGTCAGAGCAGTGACTTCAGGGAAAGCCTGGGAGGAAACGGTCAGCTTAATACAACATGAAGAACACGCCGAGACACACTGAGGCACCACCTGTCCTAAGACAGCACGCCGCACCTCAGGCGCTTAGGCTCTGTTCAAATCGAGCTACAATATTACCTTTGTGTCCCCCTGTGGTGCTCCACTGCCAGGCCCCTAGCCCTATTCAGAAATACAGACACACAGGGTTATCATTCCACTCCCCAGGCAGGGAGGGCGAGACGCTACTGCACACCACCTCTTGAGGGCCTCGTCTTCCGAGGGGACTCAAGGCAAGGGATTGCAGACGGCAAGCCATTACCAATGGCGAGCTCCGAGAGACAGGAACACACAGCACAGTGCAAGGAATTCCTAGAACCTTCGCTTCTCTAAAATGTCATTAGCATGGTGAATGGAGAGAGAGAGAGTCTTCCCTCCCCTCCTCCAGTATTTACCTAATTTAGCACAGCTCAGGTGCAGAGGATAGTGGTCAAATTTTGTGTTCATGTTTAAATACCACAGTTAAAGAGTTAGGGCAGGAGACGTTTCGGAGGAAACCGAATTGCTGTCACTGGCTCTTTGGTCATTTCGTAACGCAGTTATTTCGGAACAGATCGATGGTCACGCTCATCGGTGTAGTGTTTCCATGCAGAGCTGGGCTGGGTTTCCCAGCCAGCTGAAGATGTCCACATCAGATGTGAAAACAAGGCTGTAAAACCAGACAGAGACGCAACTAGAAACCGTGCAGCGAGGTTCAGCCCTCACACAAAGTGGGATTCGGTCATTTTGTCACTTTTGCGGGCTGAAAAAATAAACACGACATGGAAATCAAATCGGAAAAATCAGGATTATTTGGGGAATTCAGCCCACAGGTAGCACTCAGGGCAGATGAAGGACCTGTTGACAAATCTAAGGCATTTCAGGAATAAACAGTGAAAATTAAGACATAGGGCACAACAGCCCACAGAAATGTATTCTCTTATCAAAAGGCAATTTATAAGTATATTGAAAACTTGAGATACTTAAAACACTCAGTATGCTATTTCTAGGACATGATACTTGAGTGGGAACTCTGTAGGAGTGAGGTATCATAGAACAACAGATTTTTGTTAACATGAGTTGGACTGAATGACTTATGGAATAGCAGTGGGAACACTCCATTTAAGAACACTATAACCTCAGTGGCTCCACTGTGGGCACTGCATTTAAACACAATAAATGCCAGTGGAAGTGAAGCAGTTTTGGATGGATCAAATACTTGCATGCGCAAAAAAAAAGAGAATGAAACAGTTTAAAATTCAGAACACCGCAGCAGATGTCTGTGCTACAGGCAGCAATGATACGCCTCATGAGAATTCCCCTCATGTGGCACAAACCTCTGTTAAAGTAAGGAATCTCCCTCCATACCACTCAGTGTGCTAAAACCGGAAAAGATCCTGGAATACCTAACTGCACTTGCACATTCCCCTCATGGCAAAAATCTGCCATTAACTTTGCTGCAATTATCTAAACAGCAAGGGGAAACAAAATTAGACGTCTCAATTCTGATTATCGTGGAAACCGAAAGATCACCTAATGCAGACCCAGATGGAAAGAATAAGTTTCTCTTGATTCCCAGCAGATCCTGCTGAATATTCTGGACTGGATTTAGTTTCAAGAACAGCTGCATTCAGTTTGCAAGGGGCCTGCAGTCGGATTCTGAGCAGCATGTTCAGTTTTAAGCAGAATGAAGAGGTTCTGCATGCAGGCACGCGGCCTTATCTGCAAGAAATCTGCCGTACCTCTGAGGTCCCAAGCAAGAAGCGGGTAGCAGCTATGGGAAATCTCAGAGCCCACCGGCAGTCGGCCATCAGACTGGGGCCTGGAAGAAACCTGACCTCCCAAGCTGGGAGGGCTATAGGTACACAGGTGATAGGAAACCTGCTCCCTGCCTGGCTCTGCAGTTCCTCTCTGCCCACAGAAGGAGAGTCAGTTCCTTGGAACTTAAAGGCTTTCATGGAGAGCACCATAGCTAGCCCACTGCAAGTCCTGATCTCGGTGGACTACCCCACCACCAGCTGTGGTGCGATTATGGAACAGGTTAAGAAAAAGTTGTCTTGCGAGAAGAGAGTGCCAGGGCATGCCGTCTCAGTACGCCCACATTTTGCCTGAACGCCCATCCTGTGCCAGAGGGGCTGCTCTCTGAGCAAACCTGGAACCAGCGCAGGCCAGAAGTGCTCAAGAGAATCTCCATTCCAGCACTAACAACACACCCGAAACAAGCAGGAATACAAGAACGTCGACAGGAACAGATCCCGGGCAAAATACTACCCATTCAAGGGCTGCACGTTTTCCTCTATCTCCAAGGCAATTTCTCTCTGCTGAGGCTGCTTCGTATTGCATTAGAAATCTGCGCAAAGGATGACAAAATGACAAAAGACCAGAAAAAAAAGCTCCTCCCTTCTCAGTTCTTTTGTAAAAAAAATGGCAGAAATGTCAGTGATCAAACTCCGCTAGCAACTGGTGGGCGTGACTCTGTAAACAATTTAGCCGTTCAAGAATGTGTTTTGTCTTAATTCTAGACTCATGTGAGCCAACCACCTCTGCCGGAAGAATCTTCACCTAACACCAGGGTCATGTCAGGACAACGCCAGGCAGGGCAGGGCTGTGCGGCTCACACACCTTTGTTGCAGGAAGTGTTGAAGTTGGTTTGCCCATGCGTCTTTAGATGGCTGGTGATGTACGCTGCGCTGAGCATCTTGCCACAGATATTGCAGGTCACTTTCCCTTCATGTCGAATCATGTGCGAGCGCAGTCTGTCTTTGGTAGCGAAAGCAGCTGTGCAGGCCTGAAAACCAGAGACACAAGCATGAACGACTGTGGGGTGCAGTAACTCGACACTGCAGGATACTGAACTGAACCTTGGCCATGATCTGCACTGAAGTGTGGATAGAGGAAACGACATCTGATAAGGAAGGGAAGGTGCAGACCTGAGTAAATGTTAGTAAATGTTAAAAACCCTCATAAATATTTTAACAAACCACCTTGAAACACTGAAGAAAAAAGATTTCAGCAATAACCTGCCCAAGTAGACTCCTTAAACTCATATGCTGCCAAAACCTTGGCATAAAAATTCTTCTATAAACTGCACTTCACACTTTATCATTAAAATCCAGTCACACACACACTTCATCACCCTCCTGCAATATCTAACGCCATCACAGGGCATTAAAAAAAAAAGTAGCTCTTTTGAAATGGCAGCTTAATTTCGGAAACTAACGTACCTAATTTTTTTGTTACAAAAAGGCATTTAATTCTGGCGCGCACTGCACCCTTGATCTCTGTCAAGAGAGCAAACCGAGACGCCACAGCCCCTGCACATCGCTCAAAATCTGGAACTAACAGATGACTGGTTTCCTTACGAAAGGAGGGATGACAGCAAGAGAATATGAGAAGCAAGATCTAAGCTAGAGTTTGTGGCACACATCGTCCTCTCAATGTGGCACATCACAGGTTAATTTATTCTAAAAAATTAGACACTGGCAGAGTCGGGTTGCTAGCTCGGGTCAAAAGATCCCATCAAACACTGGAGACATCTCTGCTACCTGCTATGCTCGAAGCGCTATTTCTGACAGCTTCTTTAGAAAGGCATTTATAGATTTGGAAAAAAAAACTGAAAACACCAATAGTCGAAGACGCACAATAAGCGGCTATGGTTATTATATCACATCTTACTGTAACTTGGCATTTGAAGGGTCTTTCTGTGGAATGAACATGTTTCACATGACAGCTTAGATGATCAGGCCTAGAAGAAAAAAGAAAACTTGAATGAACAACTTATAATTACGCTGCAGCAGTGAAATGTCTGCTGCAGGAACGGAAGGGCCACAATATGGCTGCATCTCCAGGGCAGCAGTATTGACACATGCCACATTCTGCAAGGGAAGAGAATCTTCTGAGGATCCATTCAAAGCACCCAGCATTCCTTTTAGCAATTGTGAAACCTGAAAAGACATGTACACGTCTGACAAGCCACAAAGCTGGATATCCCATTCAAATTCTTCCACTCTGGCGTCATCAAGCCAGGCCAACAGAAGATAAGCGACACAGGCAGAGCAAGAAGCCCTTGCTTACTATTTTCAGGCAGCGCCGGCGGAAGCTGAACGCGATTCGTTCAGCACAAAAGTAACGGGAATAATAATTATAGTCCATTCTTCACAGGAAAGCACGGCGTTAAAAAAAAAAAGTCATGTTTACAGCTGGGGAATCTCTCTGGGATCCCTGGGGTGGAGTTAAATCTTCACTGAGCTCCCACCAGGAACTCGGCAAGAGTAAATAAGATTCCCTCAGTAATGCTCAGTAATGCCCATGCATACAGCTAGCTGTTTTTAAGGGACTGCTGCTAACTCTGAAAGCAACCCTGTTGAAACAGTGGAAAGCTGCCTATGCAAGGGGGGAGTTTTTGCTATTGTTCCAAGCTGAAATTAAAATAGTGCACATAGTTCTGCTTATAATTTAGAGAAATAAAGGTCTAAGTCTTCTGACAGGAAATGGCATGCTCTTATTCCAGTAGAGGGCTAAACGTGCGCTGTCTCACTCTTCTCTGGGATGTACACCAGCTCCAGGCTCCAGACACCTACCACGCAGTTTCAGCGGGACTCCCGTTCCTCTCTCAGATCAGCTCTTCAGCGACTGCCGACTCCCACACGAGTAAGAGGAAACACCCCCCCTCCCCCTCTCCCCCCCTCCCAGACTGGTACATTTCAACCGGCAAATCTTCCTGCCGGAGCAGAATCCCTCCAGGAAGTAGGAGCGCACTTCAGGCACACAGCCACGCGGAGATCAGAGAGAGCGACCGCGCCGCGCCGGCTGAGACTGCAGCGGCAGGCGGAACCCCAGGCCGTCTCCCGACAAAGACGGGACAATTCCCGGGACCGAAATCTCGCACCGGGGGTCACCACGGCTCCTAATTCCCCGGGGGACTGGAGCAGGGCTGTCCCGTGCCCCCCAGAGAGATTCCCCTTCAAGCCTCTGCCTTCCCAGATAGCACTCCTGCCGCGGCCGGAGTTCTGCCGACAAGGAGCAGGGTGGGGTGGGGGGGGTTTTCAGGAAGAGGGATTTCAAATAGACGTAAAAAAGGCCGGCCCTGGCCAGGAGAATCCGCCAGGGCCTGGAGCGGGAAAACCCGCCGTCCTACAACAGCCAATCACCGAGGCTGTTGCCCACCCCAACCGCCCTCCCGGAGAAAGGAGCCCGTACCTGGAGAAACCCTTCCCGCACACAGAGCAGATGTAGGGCTTGTTGATTCCTCCCTCGTGGGAGCGCACGTGGTAGGTCATGCGGTCCTTGCGCTTGAAGCGCTGCTGGCAGATGGGGCACTCGAAGGGCTTCTCGTCCGAGTGGGACAGCTTGTGCCGGTTCAGGTGGTAGACGTCGCGGAAGGCCTTGCCGCACATCTCGCAGCCGTGGTTCTTCTTGACCGGCTTGGCGGGCTTCTTGGGGGCGGCCTGCTGCTGGGCCTGCTGCTGCTGCTGCTGGGCTTGCTGCTGCTGCTGCTGGGCCTGCTGCACGTTGGGCATGGAGGTGGGCGACATGATGCTGGAGCCCGTGGAGACCGAGGTGGTGGCGGTGGTGAGGATGCCGGCGATGGTGGAGACGTAGGAGGGGTTGGTGCTGTTCTCGCGGGGCACGGTGGAGATGAGCGGCACCATGGTGGGCGCCGTCTGCGCCGTCTTCTTTGGCCTCGACACCATCTTGACGCCCGTGTGGCACGACTCGTGCCGCCGCAGGTGGTAGCTGTCCCTGAAGGCTTTGTTGCAGTAGCCGCAGATGAAGGGCGTTTTGGTTTTCTGCTCCTTTTTCACCACCGGCACTGGGCCGCCCCCTCCGGCGCCGGTGCCCCCGCCTCCCCCGCCGCCGCCGCCGCCTCCCCCGCCTGCTCCCGTCCCGCCGCCCGTCCCGCTGGCCACATTGTCCTTGAGGAGCTCGGCCGCGCTCGCCGGGGGCTTCTGGTCCAGGGGGATGGGCAGCACTGGCTTCTGGTCCTGCTGGTCCGCCCCGGAGTTCAAGAGCGGCAGCAGGCTGTTCTGCGCCACCTGGTGCTGGTGATGCAACGCTTCGTTAGCCTGCGGGACAGACAGAAGACCGAGCTGAAAGGACCGGGCCAATCCCAGCCGGACGGGGGCGCGTTCAAGAGGCGGCCTGTCCCCCCGGCAGGACTGTGGGGGTAGCTCTCGCGCACCTGGCGCCAGGCTCAAGGCTCGAGAGGCAGGTTAGACCAACTCAGAGGCGACCCGGCTCCTCCGCTGGCACTGCAACAGGAGCTGCGCTGCAAAACGAACACACAGATTGGCTCCAGAGCTGTGCTAACTTAAACCCCTATCGGATAACATCTGGACAGGGCCAGCTGTCTCATTTAACCCTGCTCTCTCAACGCAAGAGCTTATTTACCAAGTTGGCCATTTTGCATAATGAAGTCCTTCCACACACCACCACGTATGGCACCATTGTCTTATCTTGGCTGCCCTTTTTACTGTATTTCCAATTCCTCAAGGCTCATACCCCACCCAACTCGGAGGAGCACTTCATAACCACTGCAAAATGCAAAAAAACAATTCACTGAACCCACTGCAAACAAAGAACCCGAACCTGTGAAAGAACCACTAAACACATACATTACAAAGGCTGTGCCAGGCCTTGCCGTTCTTGTGACTTCTAATACCGGCTTTGACATCAACCTGTGTCAGAGGTAGCCTCGTATGTAAGGGTGATTTTTTTTAAAAAAAGGTACAATTTCTGCCAGGCCTCTTGTGCTACTAAAATGCCTCAAGATTAAACACTGCCAGCTGCGTGCTCATTTCACAATGTAACTCTGGCATGATTTTCTGCATCGAGGGCTGTTCAGATCAAAGCTCTCACAGACTCTGCCGAACACTAAAAGGGAAACTGAGGGGTTTACCAAAGTGACAGTGCTATAACCGAGCAAAAATAGAAAATGACTCATTTTCAGAGCCTTTGTGTTCTTTAAGACAACAATGCAGATCTGACTGCAGCCTGAAAGCACTTTACCAGTAGCAGAAGTCAGCTGCTACTGCAAGCCTCCCTATGAGTAATAAGACACAAGAGGAGGAGGAGGAGGGAAAACTTCATTTTCAAAATGTTTCTGAAAGGGAAAATGTAAGTGCACATTAAGGTAGGTAGTGAAATGTGCTGGAGAGATATCAATGAAAAACAAACTTCTGAAAGAAAAAGGGAAAATTACCAAAACTGTTGCAGGCCTGGGAACGCAGAGCACACACCCACATCCTCAACCCTGTAAAACTCTTTACAGACCTTTTCTTTTTAATTCATTTGCCATTACCTTGGAAGATTATAGCAAATGCAGCTCGGTGTATTTTAGCTGAACAATGCCCACGTATTAAGGAGCTTTAACCCTGCGCAGCTGCAGAGACATTGTTAGAAAGTTACAGGCTGCTGTGCAGAGTGCGGGCGAAAAGATCGCTCTGCTCTTCTGTCCTGTGAGCGAAAGACGCCTTAGCTCCCTCTAGCCAGGGAGAGGACGTGACTGGGACATGCACACAGCGCGCTGCCACTCAAGCATCTAAATCCGTGCTGTGTAAACCGATCTCTCGCCGGGACCAAGACGGTTCTCCATGTGACTGCGGGCAGACACGCTCTGCAGGGGGCCTGGCGATACGAGGTGGGGGTGGTGGGACATGCCGGGAAATAAACCACACCAGAACCCTTCAAGACCTGCGGACACTGGCAGATCACAGAACGGGCAAAAACGGGCCGGAGTTCAAGACGAATGACACTTTTGAAACTCTAAGCCTGCCGGTTCGGATCTGGGAACGCACAAAGGGCAACAAGCCAAGAAGTTCAGGACAACACCGAGAGAAGCAAATCACATGCAGTCAGGAGAGTCACAGCGACTCATTCCTTAAACAGGCCCTGCGTTTTTAGGCATCCTATACCCCCAATAGTGAGATCACTGGATTCAATCCCAATAATCCCAGGCACCTGGAAGAGCAGCGCTGATAAACTCTTCGCATTACGACACATGAACGTGCAACAGCACTCCGCTCAGGCCCGACTACAACCTTTTATCAGCCAGCAGGGCTTCCAGCAACACGCCGCTGCCTGTCCATGAACTCCACCAGCTCCGGAAGGCATGAGGGCAGTCAGGGGCAGAAAACTAACTTCTGAGCCCTCAAAGGTCCCAACAATAAAACAAGAAAACGGAGTCTTGACACGGGCTGGGGTTTAAAGTGCCGAGTCTGTGCCTGGCCCTGCAGGGAGCAAGTCGAGGGAACGGATTTGCTTGATCAGGAACTGTCTTGTCACGTTCTGTTTTTTTTGGCAAAGAAAATCGCTGCCAGGCCGGCGTCCCGTCGTTCGGGCCTGGCAAAGAGAGCGGCCACGCCAAAGGAGGCAGTCCGAGCCGCTGCAGGGAGCAGGAAACACCGGCCCCGGCAAAAAGAGCAGCACACCGGAGTCTGCGTTTCAGAGCAGATCGAACTCTCCTCCGCAATGGGGCCCGTTTCTATCCAGAGGAGATTAAGAGAGGAGCTTAGTTTCCCACAGGCTGATCTTTTCAGAAACGCACTTTAAAGAGAAGGGGGCCGGAAAAAGCAAAACGCAGAGCTCAGACCCGCCGGAGAGGGATCTGACTCTTTCTTCTTCAAAGAACGGACGAGAAACACTTTCACTTTCCGTCAGTTCAACAACCGCTCCTCTCTCTTTTTTTTCCCCCTTTCCCTGGATTAAGCAGCTGCTAGAAATTGAAGCTAAGTGACCACACTGCAGCACCAGGTCTGTACAAACACACACACACGCAATCTGGGAGCAACAGAAAACTACTGTGGAGGGGTGGAGATTGACTGTTACTTCTGCTGCCATCTCAGGAGCAGAGAGACAGTGAACCTCCATGCAGTTAAGGAGCACTCTGCCAGTTCTGATGTCAACGGTAACATTACCTCCTCATCACAAAGTGAAATGCGACTCCCGCAGTTTCTTAAGATGGCTCATGGCACACATCTTACGACACCACTATTAATATCCCTTTCAAAACAATTCCACACTTTATTCAGGGTGGGGGGGGGAGATGGGAGACAGCTCCTGCACCCGGGCTGATCAGGTCCATCCTCAAACCCCATCGTCCCTAAACCCCACCCCAGACTGAAAGCCCCCCCATACGTGTTCACTGGGCTCATCTGGGAAAAGGCAAGGCTGATCAAAGCCACAGGTTGGAGCTAAATACAAAGGCAACAGTGACAGCAAGAGAGGTTCAGATTTGCCTTACTGTGTGGAACACGTTCCCAACAGAGGCGTTTCATCTTCAGGGGTCAATGGGAACATCCTACCAGCAATAGGTGTAGAAATAAGATGCAAGAGATCTATAAAGCTCTAGATTCAAGACGAGGTTAATGTGTACATAACACAGCCGGCTCTGGCTTTCATTAAACGAAAAGGAAAACACGCAGGCCGTGTCCAGGAGCAGAGACAGCTGCACTTAGGCGCAATAAAACGTCTTGTTTCAGATACAGAAGCGCCGAGTTATCACAGTCAAGCCCCCCCACCCCCAGCAACAGAAAAACACCAAGTTTCACACAGCGTCTACGACTACGCATTAACAGGAACATTAAAAAACAAAGCACGTCAGGCTGAAGTCTAATTGTACAGGGCACATAATCACAGGAGAAGCAACAAAGAGAAGGTTCAGACGTCCCAGTTACACATTATGACAGGAGACAGGATTAACTTGCTATTTCAGCTATTGATGTCAACATAAAACAAGAGAGACTGGCGTGCCCCATAGCCACAGTTAAGGACCGGAGTGGAGGATCTCCATTTCCACCCAACCGCGTCTGCCTGGCTCCCCACGGACATCCGGCGCGCTAATGGGCTACTCCGGCGTGGTAAAATCTCCGAGACCTGAGCAATTAAGACAAAACCTCTGTCCCTCATCGCGGCACGCAGGGTTCAAGACCTGACCTCTTCCCCATTCAAGATCGGCCGGCCTGTAGGGGCCTTTTTATTTATGGCTGGGGGGGAAGAAAATCAACTCTGCTTCTTTTCCGTATCTTATGTGTGCCATTAAGACACAAATCCAAGCGGCGACGCACTTAAGCCCCTACAGGGGGTCTTTGTGAGACGCTCCAGGCGGATTGTGCCCCAGCCATTCACGGGGGCTGCGTTTCTGCAGACTGCGAGCGGACCCGGAGACCGGCCGTGGGCATTTAACTCCCTTTTGTCACAGCACCTGCCCCGCACTCTCTCCCCCCCCCCCGTCTAGGGAGAAGGGGGAAATACCCTCACTCTCGGCCAGGATGGGGCACGGCGCAGGCCGGAGCTGGGGGGGCCAAGGGACAGGATCCTGCTGTGCGTTCATGCCGCTCCGCCGGTTTTGATCCAAATCGACTCTGAAGGCTGAGGTCATTCCAAGATAAATAACACCAAAACAGGGGAGAGGAGGAACAAGAAGCAGCAGCAAAAAAAAAAACCCAAAACGCCTCCTCGAACTCGGAGATGCAGCCTGGGGAATGGGTATCGCTGCAGAGGAGCGTTGTTAAAAAAAAAAGACCAGAAAGAGAAACGAAAAATACAAGTCAAAAAGAAATCCTTCGTTGCAAAAGCATGAATAGAGAGCAATGCGACAGCACTAACACACCCGTCAGAAGAGCGCCATTTCATCAGACGAGGTGTACGTGTGCTGTATTAGGAGCTGGAAGGTGTTTATTGATTAAATTCTAATGTATTCAGGGGTTAAGCATCAAAGGGACACCTGCAAGCACGTGCTTTTGGTCTGCTGAGCCCTAGATCATAAAACTTTAAACATTAGCGCCAAACACTCCACCTCTCGTCCGTCCTAAGCTCCTATGCGAGATGCTCAATTGGCAAGGTCCGGAGCTCAGGTTTTTAATGACCGGGAAACGATACACCTGGAGAGCCGGCATCCAAACTGCTCGTGGGAGGAGCAGTCGGCATGCAAGATGTGGGATCTACTTCTCGAGGCAAAAAAAAAAATGCAGGTACATTATTGTGATAAGTCTCTGCCTTCGACGGGAGCAATTTAGCGACTGTCCAATGCACTGCCTTTCAATAGCCTGGTGGAGCACTGTAAAGTGACAGTCATTAATAAACAAGCCCTTTCCTGCAGCTGATACAACACTGTATACATCC